TAGCCTAGATTGTCCTGGTGTTATTGAAACTGCCTAAACCACTACTGAGTTTCTTTAAAGTTCTCTAGCCTGCCCTGAATTTATCAGTATTTTTTAAGAACCCGCAACTTTACTAAAATTAATTGATTTGCCTTGAAGTTTCGACAATTTGCCTTAAGTATTATAACCATTTTAAACGCTCCCTCATTTTCTATATATGAGATCTATGCTTATCTGAAATTCTCTAAATTTGTTTAATAATCCGGAAAATTTCTGATATATATTCTTAATTCCCTGACGCTTCTGACGCTTTTGGGTCAATCAAAGAATTCTATGGAACTCCTTGTAAGTCGCTGCAAATTTTCTTAAGTTAATGGGATTATTCTGAAGCTATCTGATCGTCCTCGAAGTACTAAAGGGTGATACGGTCAAAATTTGGTCAAGGGAAAACGCGTGTAAATCGGTGAAATCGTTTATTTAAAAAATCAAATTAAATTTCTTTTTCAAGTTCAATTAGTATAAAATTCAGGAAAAATATTCAGTTAGGCTTCCGCTTTTCCAAATCCGAATTGCCGGGCCTTACGCTTGACCCCTGCCATCAGATTTTGTACAGCCACCTTGTCCACCTTCTTCGCCGCAGAAAGCCAGTTTGCCTTGAACTGCTGCTCGCCCTTAGCAGTTTTTTTTGGTCTTCTTTAGGTTCCGCTTGACAATAGCCCAGTATTTCTCAATTGGGCGGAGCTCTGGCGTGTTGGGAGGGTTCTTGTCCTTGGGAACCACCTGCACGTTGTTGGCGGCGTACCACTCCATGGCCTTTTTACCGTAATGGCAAGATGCCAAATCCGGCCAAAACAGTACGGAACAACCGTGTTTCTTCAGGAAAGGCAGCAGACGTTTATTCAAACACTCTTTCACGTAAATTTCTTGGTTGACAGTCCCGGAAGCTATGAAAATGCTGCTTTTCAAGCCACAGGTACAGATGGCTTGCCAAACCAGATATTTCTTTGCGAACTTTGACAGTTTCATGTGCTTGATAACATCTGCTACCTTTCCCCTTCCTTTTGCCGTATAAAACTCCTGTCCCGGAAGCTGCTTGTAGTCGGCTTTGACGTAGGTTTCGTCGTCCATTACCACGCAGTCAAACTTCGTCAGCATCGTCGTGTACAGCCTCCGGGATCGCGCTTTGGCCGTCGTATTTTGTTTATCATCGCGATTTGGAGCCACTACCTTCTTGTAAGTCGATAGTCCGGCTCGTTTTTTGGCTCGATGCACGGTTGTAGACGTACACCCAGCTTATTTGCGGCATCTCGGAGAGAGAGAGGTTAGGGTTTCGCTTGAAACTACCGGCAACTCTCTTTGTCGTCTCAGCGGCTTCCGGTTTTCGATTTCCCCCCGATCCAGACTTCCTGGCTGTCGACAAACGTTCCCCAAACACTTTAATTACATTTGTAACGGTTGATTTGGTAACTTTTAGCGATTTTGCCAACTTTGCGTGCGAGTAGCTCGGATTTTCGCGATGCGCGAGCAAAATTTTGATACGCTGCTCTTCTTGCTTGGACGGCATTTTGACAACTGAAGAGTGAATTCCAAAATCAAAATAGGAGCAACATTCTACACACACACACCTTCAAAATGAGGGGTGTTCAGGTTTTTTAAATGCAAAATTGAAAGAAATACGTCAAGTTGATATTGACCAAATTTTGACCGTATCACCCTTTAGGAACTTCGCTGAACATCATGAAACTATCCAAAAAAAAACCTAAATTTATTAGAAGTTCTCTGGAATTTCTTGAAGATATCGCTGCTTGCTAAAAGTTCTCAAATTTTTCTTTAATTAATGGAACTTTGTTGATGTTCTCTTATCAACTTAGCTAAATTTTTGCATTTTTTAAGTTCTTCTTCACTTGAGTGACTTGGCCTCTTTTTAGTGACTGGCTTGAAAAAAGTGACCAAGTCACTAAAAAGTGACACGCTACCAGCCCTGCATACAGGGTCGATCAGACCGAATCAAAAATGAGTCGATTCGACTCAATTTCGTCAAATGTGGATGTTGAATTATCCGGGCAAACACCGTGTAAAACCAACTTCTTAATTATGAGGAAAAATCATGAAAATTCTACTTAGGCTATGACATTTTTTTTTTTAAATATAAGTTTTTTATGTTCTGTTTTATTATAGTGCATTTAACACATTTTAGTTCATTCATGACTTGTTCAGCGATGAGATTCAAAGTCGTAAAGCTTAAGTTAATTCACCAATGAGATGTTCGGATCTAAAATTACATTGCTTTTTTTATTTTAGCGTTGTTCGTTGATATTTTTTCTTTGTATTATTCGATGGAAAACTAACATATCCTTGACACAATTGACGTTTGGAATGATTGCTTGGCGTTGGGAGTGTGAGTGCGTGAAAATGCTTGAGAAGACGGGGCTTACTACGGATGTCACTTTACGGTGAAAACTTGTCACTTGTCATCACGGTGAAGTGATTCGCATTTGATTTGTACGGAAATCACGGCTCTTATTCTGAGTATCACTTCCTTATCACCGTGTAGTGACGCCCGACATAGCGTCCGATGAATTCTTCGTAATATTCTGCAAATTTTGAGTTGCCGCACGACTCTGTTATATGAACATTATAAATTGGCCAGATTTACAGTGCCTCCGGAACCTGTGGAAGCTGCCTTCCTGCACATTCGATTGCCGTCAATGGATGGCAATCGATGTCCGTCGGTGATTGGCACTAGATTGCGGAACAGAAACCGACGTTAAATAAAGGAATTAATGAATGCGGTTTTGGAAGTCTGTTATGCTAAAACTCTCTGGGAAGGAAGGTCGTAAATCTTGGGAACATTAACGGAGTGATAATCAATGGGGAAAATTTTTACCTCTGTTTTACATTTTCAACCATAAACCAAAAGAAAACACTCAAGGTATCTTGTGGATCTCAAAACTCATCAAGTTTTCCACACCACACGACATGAAAATTGGTTATCCAACAATCTCAATAGATTGAATGAATGAAGAAAACAGAAAACCCGAAAACTTGCAGCCTCAAGTAAAAGGCTGTTATCCCGCTATCAGAGCGGAAAGCATTGCAGTTTTCATGCCCTATTGCAACATGCTCGCTCGCCAACGCGGTACCGCGCAGACGGTTGCATGTAGCCAGCAGCAACCGCAGACGAGTGAAGCACGAGATTCGTTTCTAGAGAAAATTTAATCTCTCCACCTGGTGAGATTGATTCGCTCCCAAGTTCATCCGAAAAATAAATTGCCTGCGGGGTCTCACGGAACGTCATCAACTTCTCTTCAATCAAACTCAAAACGTAAACATTGCGGCGGACAAAGCAGTATTAGCAGCTTCCACGTCAATCCGCACGTGTTATGACGTTTACCAGTAGCTTTGGAAAAATGAATGGTTGAATTCCTTCCGACCAGTCAAGCCTGAAACAACAGCAACCGGTGCGATGTAAATCGGTATTTTTTGACAGAGGAGCAATTATTTAATAAATTGAAAACAACTTCCAGTTCCTCGCTCTCCGCACAATAAGCAACTTAATTAAAACGGGTTGACACATCCGATTTTTGAAGAAGGTCAACTGAAAGTTTGTCGACGGGTGACATTTGCGGCTAGCGACGAGTTTCGAGGGATTCGCGAATAGCGAAGTGAAAATTGCATAACGTTTGAGCATTTTCGACTGCCCGCTGCTGATAGCGCAGAAAGAAGCACAAGCAAGCAGAAATGAAGGGGCGTGTGTGAATGATTTTGCTGTAGTATTATGTATGAGACGTGATCTATTTTCGTCCGAATTCATTCAATAGAAAGGGAACTTTGGCACAGCGTCGAGCTCGGAGAGTTTGATATTATATTCGGTCACAGTTTGTTTGACAACAGTGCACAATGTCATTGCCAGCGCGGGATAGGTTTCGAAATGATGTTTGATGCAAAAGAGGTTTCAGTAGTGGGATTCATTGTGATTTTTCCCCTATATAGGGGAAATGGCTCTAATGTTGGCCTATGGATCTAAGATTTAGCCCATCGCTAAAAATCTGCTATTCATCAATTTTATCTAGATGAACGCGTTATTGGGACGGTACTAATGGATAGCTATTGAAAATTAAGTCGATTGCTGATCAGCAAAGTCTTTCCAACCTTCGTAATCCGACTCTCACCAAGCTCTTATTTTTAGGATCCCGTGGAACGCCAAGCGATTACCAAGCCATAAAATATGGAAAACACATTCCTGTTGCTGCAGTCACATGTGGAAAACTTCTCCCATTATCGTAGGTTCCTAAATGCAGTTTTTTTTTTTCTTTTCGCCTGCTGTCCGACCTTCCTTCTATCATCCGATATTTATGTAGTAAACTTCCTCGAACATCGCAGCCACATTTTCTTCGTGAATAGACAAACAACAACATCAACGTGAAAGACGGACCAGAAGAAGCAAGTGGTTGCAGCAGTCGTCGGAGGAATTTCCATGAGTATACATATTTTCGACTGACGTGAAGAAAAGCGAACGAATGTACATATAAGAAAACTCAACCGTGCTGCTATTATTGTACATTCTGGCTGCCACACATGACCGCTGCCGTATTATCGCTTTTCCATGTTTTTTTTTTTTAAGTTTTCGTACGTCCAACTCAAGGTATCTGCGTCGAACGATGACTTCCCAGTTCTGACCACTGAGCAGCGCTACGGTGTTTGTTTGTTTTATCGTTATTTTTATCCACTTGAATGTTAATCTTTTCACGTCTTCAAATACCGAAGAAAACTCGGAAGAAAAGAAACATTGTCAAAAGTGGGCGTATGTAAATGAATCTAGCACATGTTCGAATTTGTTTTCAACTAGCAATAATTCTAGACAAAGTTGATTTCTATTGCAAAAAAGAGTTTCCGTGTTCCATACCTAAATTCAATTCGTTTCGGAATTCCGCGATAAGAAGCAATTTATCAATCAAGGTGTCATTATCAGTCCAATATTTCGATCAAAATATATCAACAAGACCAAAACAAGTACTCACCCGCTGTTTGTGACACCGGAATTTTTCGAAAGTGCGTCTAAAAATATAACCTCCTTCAGATCCGGCGGTTCCTCTAGCTTTGCTGGCTTTTCCGTTAAAATATCCTGCTTCCGGGATGTACTAGTCCTACGACCACTTGCCTTCCTAAGCCCATGCCTCTTCTGAGTGGCAATCTTCTGCACTTCAGCACCACCACTGTTGGGCTTTGAATAGTCACTACTCTTCACAATCTCACCACCGACAACTTCACTATCACTTTGCCAACCCGTTTGCGCTTTTCCACTATTTTCTGGAAGAGACGGCACCGTTTCCGGTGGCGCCATCCCATTACGCTTCCCGCTTCCTAATTCCACCGGATTATCTCGTTCGTTATGAACAAGTGGCGAATGCTCTTCTTGCTGGTGCCGTTCCTGTTGCTGTTCATTGCTCTGCAAGTGATTCAGCGGTTTCGATGCCTCCGAAGCCACCAGAATAAACAGCAGACCACTGAAAATAAGCATAGTGGAAATTTTCGTTAGTTTCCTCTTCATCATCATTAAGAAATTCATTATAATTTAAAGTGGCCCCACTTTATAGTTCCCATCCCATTTTACAATCTACATTCTTGATGCTCATTGCATCATATACGAAAAACAGTCCTTGAACACTGGCAACATGACGTGCGGGAAACTCACACAAGGAACAACAACAATCCCATCTATTCAGTAGTTCTAACACAAAGAAAAGTTTTCACTTTCGTTTCCCTTCTCCGCAATCCGCGGGGCACTTCCACAGAATAGAACAAAATATTGCTTTCCTTGACCTGATAAAAGGTTCTACCAGCAGGGTATCGTAGACTAAATAAATTACAATTAATCCACAGTCCCGAATTTACCTGGACACCAGCGAAACGATCAGCAGAGTGCAGTAAGTGTAGCACAGGCTAGTTTTCATCTTGGGCCCCGAGCTTCTTCACTGTTTCGGCAAAGTGCAACAATTTTCACAATCCGACGACGACGACGACGCGATGGGAAACCATTTGGATCTTCAGAAGTAGCTCCTGCTGTTAGAAACCGACGCGGGCTAAACAAACGGAACAGTTTACCTACTATATAATCTAATGTTTCACTAATTGAGTCGCGCAATTATTGGACGCGGTCGAAACAACATTTCACACTCCCGAATGCAAGCTGGTAAAGTAAAATATTACAAATTATTCTTTTCTCACGGATCCGGAGGAAAAAAAAACGGACCCAACTCGGGTGAGATGGAGTTAAACCTTTGACAGCTGCTCGTCGCGATCGTAATTTTTTTTTCTGACGTGTGACGCGCATCAACCGGCCGGGAGCCCGGGGTGTAAATTCGTTTGCCAGAGAAAACATGCATGGGATTCAGCTACCGGGAATTTTTTTATTGAACCCTCATTACAAAAAAATCAATATTTTTTTATACATAAATAAAACAAACAAAACGTATGCAATATAAATTACATGTGAGCTTTATAAACTACAAAATCGCTCATAAACGTTTAATAAACATACATAATAATTATAACTAGCGTTCCATTTAAAAAATATGTACACGGCGATGAAATTTGAGTTTAGTTCACTTATAATCGCCAAAAGTGCAGGAACTCAGTGAAGAGTAAATTTGTCTCATGGTTTCCTGTGGAAAACCTAAAAAATCTGCCGAAAAATGAGGAAATTGACGAAAATTTTATTCAGTCTCGGAGTAGTATCAACAATCAATGCTAAACTAACGTTTTTAAATTGGCTCACCACTTTAGTAGCCTATTGGTCCCAAGCAAACGATTAACGTACCCTATTCTAGTTGAAATTCTATTACTACACTATGTTTGTTTTGATTCGCTATGAAAGTTTGACAGATAACATCAGGGGTGTGTGGATTCATGCAGAACATGCAGGGGTGAGTGAAATAGCTTGGGACTGCTTGGGACCGTTGTTCTGGTACTAAGTGAGCCAAAAATAATAATGATTTTCTTCGAGACCCAGTGGTCTTAGAGTTACCTCTATGGTAGTATCCAATCTTTACTTTTCTCAAATTCGGGATTTTTTTCCTAGAAAATCCTGGGAAAACATGGGGCAAATTTACTCATCGCTGAGTTCCTGCACTTTTTGTGATTTATGAGTTGACTAAACTCAAATTTGGGTCGTTCTCATTCGCCGTGCATGAGAACTAATGGTCAAAATTCATAAAGCGCCCATTACACATGTCAATGTATTGACTTACATCGATTTGTCAATTTTCCCTACAATATTATCAATACATACATATTGACAACATTAGCGGCGCCGGTGGTGTAGTGGTAAGCGTGATTACCTCTCACCCCAGCAGGCCTGGGTTCAATCCCAGTCGGCGCCGCGGGGATGTTCTGAGGCATAACATCTCTGATCACGCCTTCCTTCGGAAGGGAAGTAAAGCCGTTGGTCCCCGGTTCATGAGTTGATGGGTCGATAGGTAGGGTCCAGGTGTGGGAGCTGCCTTCCTGGCGTCGGTAGCATTGGTGCTCAGCACGGAAAACAAGATCGACGGAAAACAAAACCAAGGAAAAAAAAAAAATATTGACAACATTAATTGACAACACACTAAAGCGCTCGTTGCACGGGTCAATATATTGACAGTAAATTGACATACTGACAATATTATTGAAAAGGTAATATTGATGAAGATGGATTTATGACGAGTATTGTTGAAAACAGGGGGTAAGTCACTCTGCCACATTGTGCTAACACCCAGAGAAACACACGTCTTCACACTTCAAACACCCACAAACACCCTTCCATGATAATCACATTTTTTTTCAATCAATTCTGGCACCACTTCAAATAATGTTATTTTCGATTGTTATTGTTGTTGTTGTCATTTTTGTTTACAGTTACAACAATTCAATCCCAGATTGGTACGATTGAGTACGCGGATTATCGGCAAATCTCGATACCCTCGATATCTCACGTTCAGAAAGTTCAATGACGGCCCTTGTCGCTTCCAGCTTAGTTCTCTGTGTGATACGTATCAACTAGAAGCGAATGATAGAGCTGATCGAATCAAAGAGAACGCTGCCCAATTATAGCTGGAGAATGAACATAAGGCTTACAACGAAATCACAAAGCATTTTAGCGAAACGAGGCCGCGAATTGCAGGGTTCTTGGAATCGCTTAGTCCCGGGTCCGTCCTGCTGGACATTGGATGCAGTAAACAGTAATGGTAAATACCTGGGGTTGAATCCTCAGATCATCGGCTTGGGTTGCGATCGGAGCGATGGATTATTGAAAGTTTGCACCGACCGTGGCTTCAATGTGGTACAATGCAACTGTTAACCATCACCTGGCATCAGGGGCCTCATAGCCTAGTCAGTAAAGGCACGGTATTACCATAGAGGTAACTCTAAGACCACTGGGTCCCGAAGAAAATCATTATTATTTTTGGCTCACTCAGTACCAGAACAACGGTCCCAAGCAGTCCCAAGCTATTTCACTCACCCCTGCATGTTCTGCATGAATCCACACACCCCTGATGTTATCTGTCAAACTTTCATAGCGAATCAAAACAAACATAGTGTAGTAATAGAATTTCAACTAGAATAGGGTACGTTAATCGTTTGCTTGGGACCAATAGGCTAACCAATGGTAATACCAACAATCAATACGAAACTAACGATTTTAAATTGGCTCACCACTTTAGTAGCCTATTGGTCCCAAGCAAACGATTAACGTACCCTATTCTAGTTGAAATTCTATTACTACACTATGTTTGTTTTGATTCGCTATGAAAGTTTGACAGATAACATCAGGGGTGTGTGGATTCATGCAGAACATGAAGGGGTGAGTGAAATAGCTTGGGACTGCTTGGGACCGTTGTTCTGGTACTGAGTGAGCCAAAAATAATAATGATTTTCTTCGGGACCCAGTGGTCTTAGAGTTACCTCTATGGTATTACCAACAATCAATACGAAACTAACGATTTTAAATTGGCTCACCACTTTAGTAGCCTATTGGTCCCAAGCAAACGATTAACGTACCCTATTCTAGTTTAAATTCTATTACTACACTATGTTTGTTTTGATTCGCTATGAAAGTTTGACAGATAACATCAGGAGTGTGTGGATTCATGCAGAACATGCAGGGGTGAGTGAAATAGCTTGGGACTGCTTGGGACCGTTGTTCTGGTACTGAGTGAGCCAATAATAATAATGATTTTCTTTGGACCCAGTGGTCTTAGAGTTACCTCTATGGTATTACCAACAATCAATACGAAACTAACGATTTTAAATTGGCTCACTACTTGACTAGCTTATTGGTCCCAAGCTCAGGTTGTACATCAGCTAACCGAAAAGGAGCATTCCCCTTTTGGAACGGGTCACTCCAGTCAACCCTGTATCGTCCGAGGGGGGCGACTCTATCTACGATGCAGAAAAGATTGTGTTTTGCTGTGGCTAGCTGCACGCACGATGAGTAGATAGAAGGAAGATTTATGTCGATTTTGAAGATTTCCTGCAAAAATATGAAGCACGATGCAAGTAGATGCGAGAAATGAAAGATGATTTTTCGAAGATTGATTCGCTAGTGTGAGATTTTTTGAGCATCTAGAATTGAGATTTAGATGTGTCGCCCCCCTCGGTATCGTCCTAGGCCGTGTCAATCCTCACCAACGAGGGAAGGCGCCTGAAAGCCCCGTAAAACCGTCGTGCAGTCAAACCACCACAGTAGCATTTCGTTTGTCCACAATTCGATTTGTTAAACGAGCGATTCGATCTGTCAAATGTGCGAACAGATGCTTCAAACAAAATATGCTGTCAGATGATATTTCTTTGATCAGAAAATCGAGACTACTTTGTTCATTTTTGAGTAAATATGAGTAACTCAAATTTACTCGCTGCAAATATATTTACTCTGAGTGCAGCTGTCTTGCCCCCAGGGTTTAATTATCTTAAAGAACTCGACGGACCCGAAACATAATAAATTCACAATTCATTTGAGTTGACGAAATTTATTCAATTTGCTACCTGAACCTGAACCATTGGCTTGAAGCAAATCGGTAAAACTAGAAGACCGTATATATTTGTTGAAAGCTGTTACTCACTGGTTGAAATCTCCAGCTTGATCCGTTTCTTGGTGGCTTCCTTCGTAATAAAGTCCTTCAGAATCGAAATGGTAGAAATGTTGTCGCTTCTGAACTTCCCTAATAAAAAACTACCATAACTGAACGATAACCCAAATCATTGAACTATTCTACAAATGGTTTGGATGATACCATGAACACGTCGTTAAGCAAATTAACCACAGGATTAACCATAACATTTTTATTAGGGTTCGCTTCCGAATGGCCGTATTCGCAAATCAGTACCGTTCCGATAAAGACGTGACGGAAAACGAGCCGGTTCCTTTCGTTTCTATAAATCTTTTCCTGTATTTCTGGGATATTGTTCATCAACCAGTTGTGAATTTCAGCCTGACTGAAAGCCCCCTTGAGAATGAGCACATTCATAGGTCTAGATGCCATCTTGTCTGGGAGATTCTGAACGATCATATGCGATTTTCGAAATCCACCTTTTTTCACTCCACCGAGAATCTTGTGTCCAACCGTTCCCTGGACGCAATAATATCTATATATATTAAGCGCCAGGTTAGTCTTCCTCCTCCAGTGAGAGGGACAATGCTCGTTTCAAGGATTGATCTGCACACAAACAACAGCAAAGAAGTCGCAGGAGGATCTGTCATTATCAGCGTTATGTTGTTATGGTTGAGGATATGGTTGCCAGTAAATGTATTGTTTTGGTTGAAGTTTTGACAGCTCGGTCGACACGACGAAACACCCAGAAACACCTTCCGTCACCCAAAACACACATGAAACACAATAAGCACAGACACAAGGCGGCAGAGTGACTTACCCCATGTCCCAAGCAAATCGTTTAAAGTACCCCATTCTAGTCGAAAATCTAGTACTAGTATAGAGGTAACTCTAAGACCAGAAGGTCCCAAAGAAATGTGCTCAACCTTTTGGCTCGGCTCTGGTACTATCTTCGATCCCAAGCTAATCGATGCACACCTCGAAACATAGGAAAATCCACGAATCCCTCATTTTATCTGTCAAACTGTTTATAGCTAACCAAAACAAACATAGTATAGTACTGGATTTTTTGATTTGCTTGGGACCAATAGGCTAGTCAAGTAGTGAGCTAATTTAAAATCGTTAGTTTCGAATTGATTGTTGATTCAAGTGTGTCCACGGCATAACATCGTTCATGTGAAGTTGATAATTGTATCAGTTAATGTTAAACATTGAAAATAAACCATTTTTGGTAATGCCACATTATGGTTCGTGTTTATGCGGGTAGCAACAACATTCGTTTTCCCGGAAGGGTATACCAGTTAGCAAATCAGTACCCTGAAGTTTCATACAACCTTTCATAGCACCATAATTACAGCTGGCCCTTTTGACATGTTGAGCGAGTCACTTGTCAAAACACAACATGTCCAATAAGATATTCAATCAAAACATCACCATCTGAAATTTTTCCATCCTCCATCAAAATAGCTCAATTTTTACAGTCGAATAGCCATTTCACCCTTATCATAAACCACCCTTCATCAACGCACCACCAGAAATGGGTCAAGTGAAGAGCCAATTCAACGAGGAGGAACTGCAGGACTACGAGGATCTCACGTACTTCACAAAGAAAGAAATTCTCTTGTAAGTAAAACACCTACCACTCCCTCTTCTCGTCATACTGTCCAAAGGGACAGCTGCCTAATCACTACTTCCTGGTTCGTTCCTTTTTGCGTAGTGCACATAAAAAGTTCAAAGCCCTCGCTCCGGAGAAGGTCGGCCACAACAAGAACGCTCGTCTGTCGATGAACAAAATTCTCCAATATCCGGAACTGCGCGTCAACCCGTTTGGAGACCGAATCTGCAAGGTATTCAGTAGTTCGAACAATGGGGAAATTTCATTCGAGGACTTTCTCGACATGATGTCGGTATTTTCCGATGCGGCACCAAAGTCGGTCAAGGCGGAGCATGCTTTCAGAATTTTCGGTAAATTTGGTTTTATTGGCAGATTCTCCGAAAAAAAAAGAACGACTATCAATTTCCTTTTGTTTTAGATTTCGACGGAGACGATATGATAGGGAAGAATGACCTCCAACAGGTTATACAGAGGCTCACGGGTTATAACAATGCCCTCAACGAAAGCGATATCGATCAACTGATAACGGTAAAAATATGTCTTTATTTAGAACTGCGTTCAGGTGTTAAGAATTTTGAGTGTTTCAGAATATCTTGGAAGAAGCAGATCTGGATGACGATGGAGCTCTGTCCTTCGCTGAATTCGAGCATATTATTGATAAATCCTCCGACTTCACAAAGTATGCATTTCAATCTGTTGATTGATAAGTGATAATTATTTTTCCCTATCTCATTCTTTTTATTTCAGCTCCTTTCGCATTAGACTGTAGGACGACGAAACGTTTAGCTCAACTATTCAGCCAAAATACCTTTTGTAATCTCCTTTTATAACAAAACGAAGCTCCTCACCAGATATTAGATTTTGTGATTTAGACTTTTATTTATGTCATTCGTACTCGTGTATTACGCACAATAAATGCTACTATATATAGTATGAAACATGACTATTAAGCTTAATTTAAGGCTGCAGATATCCCGGAAGCTTCATTCGCATGAAAATCCAGGTGGTGAAAAAGGACACCAGGATGAAGATGAAACCCATCGATATCAGGAGAATCTTGTTCAATTTCGGTTTTCCCGGAGTGTGTGTTTGATCCATGATTATGAACCCAAGGCCTCCGATCGTGAATAGGAAACTACTGGCTAGTCCTTCCATGATGTATTGGCCATTTACTCGGTATGGCATGAAGGCGACCTAGGAAGGAATACTCAATATTAGACCAAGAATCGATTGCATGCAGTTGTTTTAATGTTACTGGACGGGAATGGCCATGCTCGTCGGTTGTAGATCCAACACTCGGGGGTTCAACGATCACATCGTAGATGATTCCTAAAGTAGAGAGTTAAACTATTTTTATGATACGATTAACTAACACCAGAAAATCAATGAAGCATACCTCCGGTCACCAAGAAGTAAGACAACAGCACAAACGAGAACACCGTCATTGCCGATGGCTGCTGGAACCAGGAAGGTCGCTTCAATTTCAAGTTTGGCACCTCAAACAGCATGAACGGAACACTGTACAACGCCTCCATGATGTGATTTTAACTGGATCAGAGATTCGAGATAGATTTTGTCTGTTTCGTTAGTTTTAAACTCAATCGCTCAAAGATTTTTTGGTATTCTCTGTCGCCGAAATGGGCAAATGTGTGTGTGTGAAAGATAAATGACGTGCCCTAAACAAAAAATGACAGCACTGTTCCCAAAAATCTTATGCTGTCAATTATATTGCATGTCCAGCGGCTTCAATAATGGCGGTTGAACGTTACTACACGCTACACAGCAAAAAAAAATGTAATATCGATCAACACGCTAAGATGCACATACCTTAAAGTCGGTAAAGAATACCTAGAAATCGGTAAAAATTACCGATAATCGAAGAAAGTGCACATACCTAAATTATCGGTTATCGTGGATTACCAATAATTAACGTTAAAATGTCCTAATTTATAGTAAAAAATAGCCAATATAAAGCAAAAAGTAACGATTTTTATTGGTAAAAAATACCGATAATTTTAGGTAATCGTAGCTTAGAGTGTAGATGAACATTTCAAGCAAGGTAACTACATTTTTTTTTAACTGGTATGTTTATTTGGAAGGCTCAATCGCGTTAGCTTTACGGAGCCGATAGTTCATTGTTCTTTGTTTGTAACAAAATTCACTTAATTCTATGTCTAGTAGGAGTTGGGCCGAATACTCGCGGCTTACTCGAGGTTAGAGAGGTACATTGTCGAAGGATAGGATCAGGGGAGGAGCTTGGGGGTAAGGTTTCGTTGTCTCGTCAGAGCGTTGTCGCCAGTATGAATGGTAGTGCGGTTCTAGTTTCGTCTGGAGTTCGACCGGCTATGGTGGGTGACCAGTGGGCGACGATGAGACTCATCGAGACGGGGGGACAAGACATACAAAAACTAATAAAGAGAGACAAAAGACAAAGGAATTAAATTCTTATACTAGACATTTGAAGAAATACATAAACCGACTGCATATAGCAGATATCGCGAGTTCCCAACACGTCTCTGATAGGAACATAGGGTTGTCTTCCTTGGGCCTAAAGGGTATTCAAATGTCGCTCTGTGGCGGCGTAATTATCCGTACATTGCCAAACTGCATGATCGATGTCATCGTAACCGTTTCCACACCGACTTATGTTGCTGTCCACGAGGTTTATTCTATTGAGATGAGCATCTAGCGAGTAGTGGTTGGACATAAGTCTACTCATCACGCGAATGAAGTCACGACTTAAGTCCAAGCCTTTAAACCACGCTCTCGAAGAAACATTAGGAATAATTGAATGTAACCATCGTCCAAGATTTCCATTGTCCCAATCGGTTTGCCAACTCGAAAGGGTACTCTGACGCACTAAATGGTAAAATTCATCGTGTGAAATTTGCCTTTCGCCTTCCTGCGCGCCCACCTTTGCGAGAGAGTCCGCCTTCTCATTGCCTGGGATTGAGCAATGTGAGGGGACCCATACAAAGGTAATCATTTATGATCTTTCGACCAGTACACTCATCTGCTCCCTTACCTTTGAAAGGAAATAAGATGAGTGCCTACCTCGTGCCTACCTTGTTTCATCGACCGAATAGCCTCAATCGAACTGAGACTATCCGAGAAGATGAAGTAATGGTCTGCGCGCATGTTGGAAATCATCCCCAATGCGAAGTTGATTGCTGCCAGCTCAGCAACAAAAACGGAACAAGGTTCCTGAAGTTTGCGGAAGGCGCTAGAGTTTTCATTGAAGACACCGAAGCCAGTGGATCCATTGAGACGTGACCCGTCTGTAAAATATCTTTTCACGCAATTGCCGTGTTGGTACTTTTCAGTAAAAATACGCGGGATAATAATAGGTCGAAGTTGATCGGGAATCCCATGAGTTGCTTGTTTCATGGACAGATCATATTCAATTAAGGAACTGCGATTGGTGAAGTGAGCACGGTCTGGAGTATAACAAGGAAGACACATATCCGACGATATGTAGTGGTGGTAGATTCTCATAAATCGAGATTGTGTGTTCAGCCCAAGAATTTTTTCAAAATTTGCAATTATAAGTGTGTTCGTCACTCCGCATTTGATTAGTATTCTGAGAGAGAGCTCCCAGAAACGGTTCTGGAGGGGTGTTACTCCTGCCAGAACCTCGAGACTCATGTTATGCGTTGAGTGCATACAGCCAAGAGCAATACGCAGACAACGATATTGAATTCGTTCCAATTTTATTAGGTGACATTTTCTTGCCGAGAGAAAGCAGTAAGAGCCGTACTCTAGAACAGAGAGAATAGTTGTTTTATAAAGCTTTATGAGGTCTCCCGGATGAGCACCCCACCATGTGCCGCAAATTGAACGGAGAAAGTTGATCCTCTGCTGACATTTTTGCTTCAAATACGTAATATGGGCATTCCAAGTGCACGTTGAATCAAACCAGACCCCAAGGTACTTGAAAGACAATGATTGAGTAATGTTTCTGCCCAAAACAGGGGGTAAGTCACTCTGCCACCTTGTGTTAACACCCACAAAAACACACTCCGACACACTCCAAACACCTTGCCACCCAGGCAGTCTCCACATAACGGATAGTTTTTCATCAATCCTGGCACTACTTCCAAGAATGTTTACATCATATGTTGTTTATAATAGACCAATCCATGATCTGATTTTATCATTCATTTTTGACAGTATGATCTGCTTTTTATTGATCTGAACCTCTCAAATGAGTAAACAAACCAAACTAACCTGCCAAATTATTTAGAACGCTTGGTTTATTTATGTGACCCAGGATATCAGCGATTTTTTTGCTGTAGGTTTTTATATAGCTTATTACGCTTATTACCCTACTTACCGTATATTTTAATCTGTATTCTGCGGTTATTTCCTGGGTTGTTTTTAAAATTTGTAAATTTATTTCGTGATATTATTACCGTTCATCATGGACGAGGTAAGTTTTTATTTAGCATTAGCTGGACATAGACAACTACGTCACGCACGTTGAGGGTCCAACGAGCAGCGGGTTTTTGTCTGAAGAAACCTTATCATATTTTAATACATTGCGTTTTTAATTTCGGTTTTATGCTTTTAAAAAATAAAAATTATTGATAACCAAACCGTTTAATATTATTAAAAATAGTACCTATAATCACAAATAGCCCTAAAGACACTTTACTTAGAAACTTACAATATGGCCCACCATATGCCTTCAGCTGAGCACCGCTGGACCTTAAAGTATTATTATTATTTAACTTTATTAGGGAGGCTTTCAGCCTTGGGCTGGTTCGCCTCCAAGAGGGCCTTAAAGTATTGTATGATGTATTTTCCATGACTTGATAAAAGGTTCTACCAGCAGGGTATCGTATATTACATAAATTACAATCAAATTTGTCGATCACCCCTTTCTCTATTCCGTTGTATGGGAAATCCGTTTCAAGAGACTCGTGCTCGTAGAGAACTACCAGTCTTATACACTTAGTACGGGGCGAAGTTTACCAGCTGTGAGCTTTCATTCGCGAGTAATCGACGTCTAAAGCCATTGTTTACAAAAGCAATTCGGCCCTTTTGAAATGTTCACACCGCATTACTCAATTACGAATTTCCGTCATTGCTAAATTTAATGCGGCATGAAATCGCCAATTCAAACTCATCCATCTTCACAAAATAGTTGTTCTCAAGGGAAGCATTGAACCAACTTCCTCCAACCAGTAGGATCCACTTTTTATTCCACTCACGGATTTTCTTTCTCAACGAATCACGAAGAATGTTCATATGGTGTCTTACGGATCTTCATCATTTTTACTCCCTAAAAAAGAGTGAAATTAACAGTACATGAACGGCGGCTCCTGGTTTACTGATAGTAAGTATCCGGTCGGCGGAAAGAGAACAGCTTCCTGTAGCGCTTGTGGTGGTATCTTTGCACCAGCGGGAAGCGGATCTTCGAGCCGTGGAACTGCTTGATGTGAGCACGACGGGTCTTGGAGGCCTCAACCGATTCGATCTTGATAATCTGTTGGGAAAACATTCGCATCAGTGATTCTTTCCGGGTCAATACTACCAAAAAGCAACTCACCTGAATGGAGTGGGCACAGGCACGGTGGCGCGAAGCCATATCGTTATAGCACTGCGTGACAGCACCGCCAACGGTCAGATCACGATACTCGCGGTACATGTTGTGGGTACCGGAACGGGAATCGTAGCGCAGCCAGATGCCGAAGTTTTTCATGCGCAGCGGAGTTTTCTCCAGGATACGCTTGACCGAGACAATCTCACCGGTGGCCTTCTTGAACTTACGCAGCTGCCGCAGGAGTACCAGAAACGGGACTTGGCCACGATCTGGTCCGGTGCGAAGATGTGCATCAATTCCGCCATGTATCACGCACAGACTGTCGTTTGCTTATTGGATTTTACAGGATTTTACCATAGGAGTAAAGAGCTATAGCTGTATACAGTCACCGTCAACGCCAATAAACAACGACGATCGCAGGGGGATCTGTTATTTTCAGCGATGTGGAAGTCATGGTTGCCAGTAAACATTGTATGTTGCCGCTTGACGTTTTGACAGCTCATTCGAAACAGAAACACCCTGAAACACCCGAAAAACACACAAGAAACACAATCAGCACAGTCACAAGGTGGCAGAGTGACTTACCCCCTGGCAATTTCCAAACCTACGACTGGATGCCTTCCTTCAAATAACAACTGAAGTGCGGTAAAAAATCGGTAGAACTGTTTCAAACACACCCTTGCTACTTGAGCGGCCGGCGTTCATCTCTTTTTGCCAGTGGTGGCACCCCTCTCCAAAGGGGGAGTTTGGTAAAGGGAGATGATAAAACCGATTTGTACCTTCCTAAAAGTTGTCCTAAGCTCGCTGTCTAGTCTCTATATGCAATTTTCACACTGCCGTACTCTGAACGGAACTATCAATTATATACTTTCTCCTCCTCATCTATCGTATAAAAATTACCACTTGAGTCTGTTATTTGAAATTAGCATCTTAAACTGTTATGTCTACCCGGTTTCCTGCTGTGGCGTCAGAGTTCTCCTTTAAGATTACGGTGTTGGTTTGCGTGGGTGGCCTTTGCTTTGTGAGAAAAGGGCTTTAGAATGGTTTGTTTTCAAATACTGATGGGCTCTTTTCTATTGTTGATCCAAAAGTGAATAATAATAATAAATTAAAGATATATCTTTTTTTTCCTTGATTTGTTTTCCGTCGATCTTGTTCTCCACGCTGAGCACAAATGCTACGGATGCCCTACATATAAACCCATCAACTCATGAACCGGGGACCAACGGCTTTAATTCCCTTCCGAAGGAAGACGTGATCAGAGATGTTATGCCTCAGAACATCCCGGCGGTGCCGACTGGGATTGAACCCAGGCCTGCTGGGGTGAGAGGTAATCAAGTTTACCATTGGGACTACTCAAAAAGTTTTACTCGTTCATGAGAATATGTTCTCATAAATGAACAATAATTGTTAATCATTTTTGCAGTAAAAATTACTCATAAATGGGTTGAATGGGTAGTCCCATGTTACTTCCAAAATGCGTATTTTATAGTCATTATTGAGTATTTTGAGGCTACAGTGTGAGGTAAAGACAGCTCAGAACTCAAATTTCGTGGGCTTCCTTTTTACTGTGCATAATTTATTATGAGTGTTTTACGAGCCCAGTGGTTTGTTTTAGAGCAAAACTACAAAATTTATGCTGTCAGATCTTACACTTCAGAAAATGTGTGCATGTGTGTATCTTGAAAACTAACACTTTGTGCATTCATGATCCGATCCGATTACCTCCGCTCATACGGCTGTGTTCGTGTAGTCGCCTTCTACAGGAAAAGGTCTTCCCAATATTCAATATTCTCGTATAGGCAGCAGAAAAAGCAGTACCCTGATGAGAGTGTGTGTGTGAAGAAGAAAAGCGAAGAAAATATTTTCTGCCAGCCCAGTGAAGCAGCAGCTCGTGTTTTTCGAAGGTTTTTTTTCGCTCGTGGTCACTGTGTGTCGCATTTTCACCTGCAAAATCGTCGGAAAACCGCTCGAAATGGTTGAAATTGATTGTGCGAGTGTTCTTAGTTTGTGATTCGAGTGAAATTGGTTGCATTCGCATCGAGGTGAGCAGGAAATTTTCGATTTTAGATTGCCCTCAAATCGCTCAAGGGGTGCTCGTGGTGCTCCTTTTCTTCGCCATCGTCGTCGTCGTCGTCCCGTACAGAGTCAGCCATCACAGCAGAGCTGTAGCTCCATATCGATGTACGACGCATACATGTGCATTATTCACTTTTGCCTTTACTAATACCAATATGGCTACACTGTGTCCATGAAGAGTGGAACCAAGGTGTAGAGAGTTTACAAGTGATACCAACACATAGGTAGCAAAGGTTCTTTGTGTTGCCATTACACGGTGGGCTGAATGCTGGTGGGTTTTATCAAAAATAATCCTTGAACCAAAATAATAATAATTATTGACAATTATTGACGAATCAAACGCGGTTTCCGTCGATTGGAAAGGAATTCAAATCAAAATCAATTTAATGTCCGGTGTGATTCAAATTTAGGGCGTAGCTTATTTGTGAAAACAGTTACTTCAAATTACCGAGTTCTCGCGAATAACAGCTCAATCTCGGTAACTAACAACTCATTCAGGTAGGGGAGTGATACCTCTACCAGTTGGTATAGTTTTCTGTTTGTAGAGAAAAGTGGTACAACTGAGAACCTTTTCTTTGTGACCGTGAGTAACTCTTACTCACCGAGTGAGTAAACGAAGTGTAAACAAAAGTGAGTATATTAAACCCATGATTCGAGCTCTTTTCCCGTTGTAAAACTCGAATCAGTGAGTAAAACTCGCACGGCCACCATAATTTTTCTTCAGTTATTCATAAATGAGTAAGATAGGTTTACTCACAAACTGAGTGACTCAGTTGAGTCGCCGTGTATCACAGAGAACAGACGTCCAACTTCCACCAGAAACTTGTGTAAAGATAAGTGAGAACGTCGCCGTTACGTGGCCCTAGCATCTCTTGATTTCCTCTATAAATTTTACACTTTCGACCAATTTGGCGCTATAAATTTTCTGTTGAAAATTACAGCTCGGCGCCTAAGAGGAAGAGGAGACAATAGGGGGACTTTTATGAACAAAATTTTCTGTCTAATGCGAACCCCAGCGTCTGATTGGTCGGGTAACCGTATAGAAACGCGAGAATTTTTACAACAGGGAATCTATTTTCGTGTATTTTGACAGTCGAGTGCGTCGCCTATAATGAAATAGTTTTTGCACGGTAGTTTCCGCGAGAGAAGAAGAACATGTCATAGACAAAAAGAAGCCAGTTGTCTCCTCTTTCTTTTAGCTCGGCGCTACCTGGGACGGGTGTTGACAATCGGGTCTAGAATCGGGTAGCGATTTCGAGCTGCTGTCAAATCCGGGCCAGTTTCTGATAGGTCGATTTGACAGTAGCAATCGTGGAATAAAAAGGACAGGGATCGCATCAATCTGGCTGGCAGTCAGCGCTGCCATTTATACAGATTTATCTGTATTATACAGATTTTTTAATCTTAATACAGACCCGATACAGAATACAGATTTATCACAGATTTTTAAATTACAATACAGATTTTTATAAAATGCTTGAGAAAAAAAATTCAAAATTTCAGTGCTAACATTTGAAAACGGCGCAAAAGCCATTTGTAAACAAATGGTTTGTGGGCCCTTTACTCGCTACCCGAAGAACGCCCACGCAAACCAACAGCATCGTCAGGAAGGGGAAAATTTCCCCTACCCGATGTTGCTGTTGTGTCTCGTGGGTCTACTTCAAGTAGTGAGTAAAGGGCCCACAAACCATTTGTTTACAAATGGCTTTTGTGCCGTTTTCAAATGTTAGCACTGATTTATAAAAACAAAATAACTTTCTCGATTTTATTAGCGTACCCCCTTCTCTCCAAAATTAATTGTTGTGCTTTACATGTGGATTATGGGGATTTACAGTATTAATTGAATATTTCCAATATAAGCATGCATGTTAAATACAAAAAAAGTGCCCGAGCACATTAAAATTTTTTTTTTTTTTTTTTTTTTCCTTTATTATAGAGATTTTTAGCCATAGGCTAGTTCATCTCTTACACATTGCACATTAAAATGGTACAAATACAAGTACTCGTAAACATTTTACTTGCATTGAAAATGTATTTCGTAAGAAATTGCGGATTTTCTGATATTCTCCATACTGCAAAAATGATTTTACCAGCACTGGCGGGGCGACATCTCTCGACTTTTCGGTGTAACTACCACACAAATGATGTAATTAATTGTATTCATCTATATTAAAAATATCAAATAGTAATGAACTCGTTCACTTTTTTGCATTTAAAACTGCTTATCAGGAAGATAATGAATAGAAACTAAAATCTCCATACATTTTCAAACGGCTTCATATCACTCTTATAAATAAGTACGGACGATATCACAAATGGTGCAATTATATTCCGTATGGTTAGTACGATAGCCCGAATAGGTGGTTAAGCACTTTTTATGGTTATTTTGTATGCACTGTATTTGTAAAACAACAAAACATGATTAATTAAGAAAAAAATCGTCAATACAGAAAATACAGATTTTTAATTAGAGTGGATACAGATTTTTTATAAAACCACCTGGCAGCTCTGCTGGCAGTGATGTCGGAATCAATGTTGACGTCAGTGGCGTTGTTAATGGTTTATATTTGCTAAAGGAAAGTTGAAAATTTGAGTGCTCTGTGTGTTTTAAGCCATGGATATTGTTGTTTGTTTATGGTTGTTTTTATTGTGTTGAGCAAAAAGGATGTACAAGCTGCTAAACTGCGGTAGAAATTCTGAATAAAATCCAAATTAAAATAGAAAAAATATTTTACATTCCTGGCATCATTGGTCAACTCCGTCAAACACGACGCACAACTTTCCGAAGGGCATTCTTCAAAAACATTAAGAAGAGTGAGAAGCTCGATTGTAAAGTACCGTCCCGGGGCGCTACCGGCACTTAGTGTCTAGTGTAAGTTGTGCAACGCCAGCGCCATCATGTTGTCAAAGAGGGTTTTTAAGTGGGGAAGTCGGCGTTGGTGGCGCTTAAGTCGAATAGTCGTGTATGCATCAGGTCATGGAAAATTTGTGAAAAAAATAAGAGAGAAGAGTTTAGTCATGAGTATGATTGATCGCCCACGGTTGCTACTCCGTTATTGCCAGCATGCTTGGCATACACAGTTTTACACACCAACTGCTCATTTGTTAACAGCTTTTCACTAAGATGTTGAAATTAGGTTTTCTTTAAAGTAAGTGATGGAGTAGGATCATAGTTTACTATAGACACGCCAAAAGTAGTTAAATCTTAACTTTTGAATCAACACGATTGAATTTTTAAACTAAAAGTACGAGATGTGTAGCAAGCATTTCTCACTTCATTTTGGCAATGCGAAAACAAACACAGCTGATTACTAGAACTAAAACCTACTATTTTTTACGTATCTATAACAAGCTTTAACTCTATTCTATTATCTAATACTTCAAAAAGAACTGAATTTCGTCTACTGTGTGCAAAGTTATTAGCAAATGAGCAGCTCGTGACCAAAAATGTGTATGCCAAGCATGATTGCCAGGTCACCTGTAATTACACAGAGAACCAACAGTTGATGATTGGCACTAGATATATTATATATCATTCTCAATGTGTAAAAATTGGTGATTTCAAACTTTACAACTTAGGCAATGCCAGCGCCGGCCGCGTCCGAATGCATGTAAATAATTGACCTATAATATATTAGTTGAGTTGTAATAATTAAGGAAAGTGTTGACGTTAATTTTGGTAAACAGAACACTGTGATGTGCTCATGTTAGAAAGAAAGTGATTAACGAATCTTGAATGTGAAAGGGACCGATATTAAACCCTCTATGTTTTATTCAGAAAGCAAAAACGATCGCTTTAGGGCCACCGAGCTCTCATATCACATCACTTATGATCCAGTTGTAACCATTCAAACCGCACACCGACGCCAACGACAAGTTTCACAATACACACTCTGACTCTAAAACTTCATGATATGAAGTAACACGGGATTTATCGCATGGGTTTCTGTTCAGTAAGCAAAACAGATGACCCCACTCCCACCCAGCCCAGTTAACGAACGCTCAGTTAGCGAATAAGTACTGTATATGTAATTCGTAGTTTCGATGCAAGACATAACCAGAACTATGATGCTTCGTATTGACTTCATTGGTCCCCAGCGTACCCCATTCTCATACTAGAATTTGTGTTTGTTTTGAATCGCCTTATAAATTTGAGTTTAATGAGAGGTTCGTTAGTTTTCCTAAGTTTCGAGGGGTGCTTCAATTAGTTAGCAGACCTTCTGTTGGTCTATTACTATAAACCCTAAATTTGTATAGTTATTTTGCTTAACGACGTGTTCAGGGTATCATCCAAATCATTTGTGGAATCGTTCTATAATTTGGATTATCGTTTGGGTATGGTATTTTTTTTATTAGGGAAGCGAACACAAGTTGGACATCGACCAACTTTCCGGTCGTTCATTTCGCAGTACAATTGTACAATTATAGAGGTAACTCTAAGACTAGAAAGTCCCGAAGAAACGTGCTCAACTTTTTGGCTCAGCTCTGGAACTCCTCAAACTTTCATAGCGAACCAAAACATAGTGTAGTACTAGAATTTAGACTAGAATGGAGTAAGTTCATCGATGTACTTGAGACCGATAGGCTAGTCCAGTGTTAGTCAATTTCAAATCGTTATTTTCCACTGGTTGGTACAATCGAGTTGAATCTTGTTGCCTGGTTTGATGATTTAGTTCAGCGCTGGGGGGGACGTGCTGTCAAATCAGCCTACTGATCATTCTTGTATGAAACTGGTTCCAAACGTAAACAAACGCTGTAGGTTTCTTATTGCTTGTTTACGTTTGGAACCAGTTATGCGAGGTAGGCGACGATTGTTCGTATTTGACAGCCACCCTTGGTTCAGCGTTCAATTCATTGAAATGCGAAATAAACGTCCAGAAAACTGGTCGATGTCAGACTTGTTCTGTTCGATGTCAAGTCAACTGAACAATGACTATCAGATCGGGGTCAATTGATGAATTGAATCATCTAAACTGGGCGTTCTTCTTCTTCTTTATATACTCTGCTGTCAAGCAAGTGTAGGGATGGCACAGCATAAGAGCCATATTTCCAACAATTCGACAGTGAGCATTCATAAGGGCGAATACGCGATGATCGATTCTCTTCATCGATTTTCTCTTTGCATTGCTACAGCTAGGCGAAACAATTTTCTAGAATTTGTTCAATGCAGAGTAGTAACAGATTGTATTGGCTATAAAAAGCAACAGCAAACGCACCGAGAAACGTTAAATCTAGCGAGTTATTAACAAAAGAGAAAATCGACGAAGAGAATCGATCATCGCGTATAGGCCCTTATGCATGCTCACTGTCGAATTATTGTTTAGAGTCGTTTCGACTTTTCCTACTAGCTTTCTACTCTGACGTATTTAAACTGGGCTTTAAAGCTGCGGTTGTAAAATTCTCGCATTCACTCTGCTAAGCGCCCTTATGAAAGACTTTGTACACTGAGAACCGATGCAACTGAAGCGTAAACAAAAATGCTTCATTGGCTCCTGTAAAGTTCCACCGTAACGGATCAGGATTAGGAGAGAATCCCCATTAGAGAGAGAGAGAGTCTAGACTAGACCCAAAGTGATGTAAACATGTGACGCAATGTGAATTCGACGTCTTTTTCGTTTTCCCGCTGTTGACGGAGTGTGCCTTTTCATATCTCATCGGACTAGATCCTCTCTGATCCCCATCAATCCGTGTTGCCAGTTTCCCTGGTTACGAAATTAATAATCAATCATTGATTGTTTCCTTTTCTCGTTGTTTTTTTTTTTCTCAATCCAAACAGGAGAGCCCCTCTTCCGTGTTAGCAGTAGCATCGGCAGCAGAAGCTCATCGCGGTCAGTGGTAGTGGTGGTGGTGCAGTCTGCCCGCTACGTTGTGTGTCGGTAGTGCGTGTGAGGAAGAACGGATTGCATTGGTGTGCGCCACCATCATCATCACCAATCATCGCCTTCGTCGTCCGTCACCGTCGCCGTCGATACACTGACTCTGCGTGCACACTGTGTACGGAGGTAAAAAAGAAGACGTCCGAGGAGATATAGATCGAGAGCGAGGCGATTTTCAGAGCCAAGTTTGAAATTGAAATTGCCTTCGCGCACCGCGGCCAGCGAAATTATTGGCCATTGGAGAGGTGAGCAAGCAAGCGAAATTTATGCTGAAAATCTACAACCATTGAAGCAAGCGCCAAGCGAAGAGCAGCGGAGGCCATCCGAGAAAACTGGGGCTAACATTTTGACTTTTCAAACACACAGAAGCGCAAGCACAAGGCAGCAAGGAAAGAAACCAGAAGCAACTGGAGTGGAGCGGAGGAGGCGAAATTTCTCCGCAGCCAAGGAAACAGCCGAGCAACAAGGAAGGCACTTCCTGTGTGTAAAATCGAAGAAGCTCCAGCTCTGGACGGGAAATAAGGAACACTGAACGTGAAACCAAAGCGAAAGAATAATAACCCGACAGAGAAAAAGGTGAGTGTTTGTGTGTTTCTTTCTGGTCGGGAAATTACAGGGAATGAATGAAATAGGGAAGAAGAGATGGTTCCCATCCCCATCGGTTCATTCCAACACAGGGCAACCGTATAAGTATAATAATAACATCATCAGCAACAACAACTGCTACTACAGTCAAGTCAGTGTTGTTTTGTAGACATTTTGTGGGGCTCCTCTTGGTCGCCTTCGGTAGTAAAGACGACTTTTGGGCTCCTTTCTAATGTGGGGCTCGTTTTGGTGTCTTTATTCTTTTGTTATTATCGCTCTTTTTGTTTCATATTCGATTATTACATAGCTTAAACATACATTCGCTGAGGCGCACACACACACACACACACGCACTGATCAGTGTCGGGATTGAAAATCTGATTGTGATTGCTTTTGTCACAATCTGTGACTGAGTGGCGCAGGCTATGGTAGCAGAGAACGTTAAGGATACTGCGTGTGGTGTTTGTTATCAATGCCATCAAGCAATTAGAGATGTGTATTGTAATATTACTAATGTAACAAAATGAGGACTATCGATCGAATTGAAGCATAGGTACCTATCTCGTGCTTTCGAAGCAAACTTCGGTCAGCATAATGGAAAAACAAATTAAATAACGAACAATCGTGATACTTTGAATAGGTATACCAACAATCAATACGAAACTAACGATTTTAAATTGGCTCACTACTTGACTAGCCTATTGGTCCCAAGCAAATCGACTAACGTACTCCATTCTAGTATAAATTCCAGTACTACACTATGTTTGTTTTGATTTCCTATGAAAGTTTGACAGATGAGTGGTTAGTGGATTTTCCTATGTTTCGAGGGGTGAATCGATTAGCTTGGGACCGAAGATAGTACCAGAGCTGAGCCAAAAAGTTGAGCACGTTATTTCGGGACCTTCTGGTCTTAGAGTTACCTCTATGGGTATACCGTGCAAGCACCATATTCTGAACGGTTAAGAAGATCTCAACGTAATCGGATCTAAAGGGAAACAATTATTTTGCTATTTCAAAATGGTTTCTTACAGTCGTGTAGACTGGACATCTAATAGCGAATTCGTTTATTATTCAGCTCCAACCTGTGCTGCGTGCTGTCAACAATGCCAATTGAATGTAAGATGTTGGTCTAGTACTGAATTTCACTTCCGAAACTGATATTCGTAGTAGGCATGATATCAGCTTTGATATTACTATCCATGAATATCACTAGGGAAAAGTTGAAAATCTTACGTTTATCACAATAAATCAACTTTTTTTTTTGTATCCCTCCCCTTGGCTAGTTTTTGCACCTTGTTGCTGGTGGGCGAGCTTAAGGTGATTCCTTGTAGAGTCCACAAATGGCCGCCACGTAGGCTATTAATGCATTTCCACCTCGAATTTTCAATTACACACATCTCGGAAATTAGAGTTCCATTTCACCTGAAATTGCTACTGCATGTATGCTGCAGCGCAGCAATCGTGGATTAACGGTTTCATTGTAGTACGTGTCGTGGAAGCTTATATTTGTGCACTTAAAGTTTCGAAGTGGTAGCGAGAATAAGGATCTCACAGCGAACCACCTTAATTTCATGTTCTATAGTGAAGTGTTGGAGACCGTAGGTTTTATTGTTTTATTGTTGTTTTACATCAACAGGCTGGATGAAGCCCCAATGATGTTAACCTTATCAACTATAATGAAAAAGTAGAAGGGTCTGTGCCTAGGGGCACGAACGGAAGCTTGACGTAGGACCGCTAGTAGACGGAATAAATGTGAAGAGCATTAAGTTCTTTCAATTGATCAAATATCTCCTATCTCAACTCTTTCCGTTTTTGAATTGTAGGCGTACCAAATTTGTCGTAATCTTTTTCAAAGAGAAAGTTGATTACGAGAATCAATCAAAATCACTTGCACCCCTGCTTCCAAGTTTGTGTGGTCGTTGGGGGCTTGTGGTTCTGCATATGGACAATCAAGCACAGATACATTCTATTCCAACTCTTTACTGATGTAAGCTTGATGGCCCTGAAAAGGGCCGTTTTATTGAAGAAGACATCCATGGCCACTTACGCTTGGCGTGTTTAGTATAGGTGACAGCATCACGGACCTCATTTTCCAGGAACACCGTCAGCACTCCTCGTAGATCAGACCGGAGATACGTCAGACACCGCCACGGCAAGCCAGACGACGGATGGTGGTTATCTCGAAGAATTTGCGATGACGATTGACACCTCCTTTGCCACGACCAGTCAATTGTTGCTTGTTGGCTTATAGAAAAGTGGACTAAACACCTTCCTACAGCTGCTATTGCTGACCACGCCGTCCGAAGCGACAATGAGCTGATACCAGACAGCAGCGCTGCTTTATATCTTTTTAGGTTAAAGAAGAATGATGTGCAACCAAGTGGTATAAAAGCTACAAAGACTCCTCCCGTTATGAGTAGTTTGCTATCAAGTAGCGACACTGGCTATTTTCCTTTTGCGTACACGGCGAATGAGAACGACCCAAATTTGAGTTAAGTTCACTCATAATCACCAGAAGTGTAGGGACTCAGCGATGAGTAAATTTGTCTTATGGTTTCCTGTGGAAAACCTAAAAAATCTGCCAGGAAATGAGGATATTGACGAAAATTTTACTCAGTCTCGGAGTAGTACCAATAGACTGAGTGAATCCAATCTTTACTTTTCTCAAATTCGGGAATTTTCCCTGGAAAAACATGGGAAAACATGAGGCAAATTTACTCATCGCTGAGTTCCTGCACTTTATTTCTTATTTCTGAGATAACTAAACTCAAATTTGGGTCGTTCTCATTCGCCGTGATATCACCTTGAAAGATATCGGCGCCGGTGGTTAGCGTGATTACCTCTCACCCCAGCAGGCTTGGGTCCAATCTCAGTCGGCGCCACCGGCAACATGCATAACATCTCTGGGAGCTGCCTCCCTGGCGTCGGTAGCATTGGAGCTTAGTACGGAAAACAAATCTCGCGTCACTTTTCAATAGGTCCTATCTACATTGATCGATTCTCTTCATTGACACTCTCTTTCGTAAATAACTCGGCTTCACAAAATTTGTTTCCTGCCGTCTTCGTCGAATTAGATGCTAGATTGTTGCTTCTTCCATCGAAAATATCCGGCCGTGGCGATTCAAAGTTGATCAAGGTTGATCAAAACAATTTGTATCCCTGCTTCCAGTTTGATTACATGAGCATTTTGTGTGGTCGGTGGTTCTGAATATGGACAAACAAGCAGATGAATTTTATTCCTACTCTTTACTGTAATAAGCTTGGTGGCCCTGAAAAGAGCCGTTGTGTTTCCAATGTTGGTAATGATTTAACCTCTGAAACCAAACAGAGTGCGTCACTGTCACTTCAAAAACGTAGATGACATCCATGGCCGCTTACGCTTGGCGTGTTTAGTGTAGGTGACAGCATCACAGATCTCATTTTTCAGGAACACCTTCAGCACACCTCGTAAATCAAACCGGAGATACGTCAGACACCGCCACGGTGAGCCAGACAACGGATGGTGAATATCTCGAAGAATTTGCGTTTGGTTCTGAACATGGCGATGAGTGTGTAAAATATTACGCAATTCCATCCTCCCTATTCGCACGCGCCCGAGGATCGGAGGCGAATGCCACTTCAACTTGTTTCGTCTACTTACTACTCTCTGACGACTGTGCTGGGGAAGCATCATATGCATGTAGGTAATTGGTGGATTTGTTAGTTAATTCAACGCTTTTGGACAATGCTGAACATTTACCAGTTTTTCAATAGTTTCTTGTTGAAAATCAACATTCGGAAGCAATGCGTAGCCATATTTCTGATCGATTGGTGATAAAATTATTGAAATTGGACCAGGGGAAGCTGAGTTATTAACGTTTAAAATCTTTCTTAATTTGTTACATGTTCCATTTTCAGTTTTCACAAAGTGTACCCCCATATAGAAATCAAAGACGTAGTCCTACGTCAAAAGTAGAAGGGTCTGTGCCTAGGGGCACGAACGGAACGACCGCTAGTAGACGGAATAAATGTGAAGAGCATTAAGTTCTTTCAATTGATCAAATATCTCCTATCTCAACTCTTTCCGTTTTTGAATTGTAGGCGTACCAAATTTGTAATAATCTTTTTCAAAGAGAAAGTTGATTACGAGAATCAATCAAAATCACTTGCACCCCTGCTTCCAAGTTTGTGTGGTCGTTGGGGGCTTGTGGTTCTGCATATGGACAATCAAGCACAGATACATTCTATTCCAACTCTTTACTGATGTAAGCTTGATGGCCGTTTTATTGAAGAAGACATCCATGGCCACTTACGCTTGGCGTGTTTAGTATAGGTGACAGCATCACGGACCTCATTTTCCAGGAACACCGTCAGCACTCCTCGTAGATCAGACCGGAGATACGTCAGACACCGCCACGGCGAGCCAGACGACGGATGGTGGTTATCTCGAAGAATTTACGATGACGATTGACACCTCCTTTGCCACGACCAGTCAATTGTTGCTTGTTGGCTTATAGAAAAGTGGACTAAACACCTTCCTACAGCTGCTATTGCTGACCACGCCGTCCGAAGCGACAATGAGCTGATACCAGACAGCAGCGCTGCTTTATATCTTTTTAGGTTAAAGCAGAATGATGTGCAACCAAGTGGTATAAAAGCTACAAAGACTCCTCCCGTTATGAGTAGTTTGCTATCAAGTAGCGACACTGGCTATTTTCCTTTTGCGTACACGGCGAATGAGAACGACCCTAATTTGAGTTAAGTTCACTCATAATCGCCAGAAGTGTAGGGACTCAGCGATGAGTAAATTTGTCTCATGGTTTCCTGTGGAAAACCTAAAAAATCTGCCAGGAAATGAGGATATTGACGAAAATTTTACTCAGTCTCGGAGTAGTACCAATAGACTGAGTGAATCCAATCTTTACTTTTCTCAAATTCGGGAATTTTTCCCCGGAAAAACCTGGGAAAACATGAGGCAAATTTACTCATCGCTGAGTTCCTGCACTTTATTT